TGAATATTCATTTTCTGAACACACATACAGCTTTTTTAACACCGAAAGCAACTAAACAGAATATCTCGAAAGCAGTTAAAAGGTTTGTTGAGAGAGACTCGATTGGTTTTTAGTGGGTGACGTAAAATCGAGTTTTTGTGAGAATTCAAGATTAGTAAATAAAAAGGGTTTAGTTTTAATAAATAGTGTAATAAAATGTTCAAATGCAAAAAATGTATGTATAGTTTTTAACAGAAGGCTAGATTTATTATAATGTAACTGGGACATTTATTTATCTATCCTTAAACATTTAAAACACAATCTTAAATCAGCGTTTTTATCACTACCATGAAATATTTTGTTTTATCCGTCATAATTAGATGCATAATTAGCAGATTATGAAATAATTAATTCTAGATATTATAATATAATGTTTTCAACATACTGCACAATAATAAATTTTATGTCTGATGGTCAACTCTTTAGATGTTTTTCAAAGCAATAAGATAAGATTATATATTAACCATTTGTGCCATTTGTAGTAAGTCTAGCAAAATATTTATCCGTATCCTACTAATTCCGTTTTCACAAAATTTAATATTTATTTCAATTTTGAAATTTTGGAATACATGTTAGATGTGGAAAAACATGTTAATCTAATTATTGGGTGAGGTATATATAATTAGATTTACATTTAAGATAAATTAATTTTATTTACATATAAGCAGCTTTTCAGACTAAATTTTTCAGTTCGGAATCAACGTCAGATGATGACAGTTTTGGATCGATTAGTGAAGTCAACAGTTTCAGCTCAGTTTCAACATCCGAGTGAGTGTTAACATTGCATGAAGTGTAGAAAAAATAGAAACAAATGCATCCAATATTTAATGTTATCTTTGGTTTACTTCAGTAAACGTCATTCATTATGTTTATTTAAATATTGGCATTGTGGAGCCTTTCTTTAGTAACAGGGCAAAAAAATTAATTCAAACCAATGTTTTCTTAATACTAATTAAAAAGAAAATAGTAGTTTTATGTATGTTGTGTGTAAAGCCTCAATTTCAAATAAAATAGTTCAATAAATTATTAATGATCCATTTTAGTACATAAACAACATCATTAAAAAACGACAGGAAAATGTTCAATACGTATAACTAAAAGTGTAATTTATGATTTGTATTCTATTCATTTTATAGAACGATACATTGAAAAATCTACATTTAAATGTATAATTTGTTATTAGGATTAAAAAAAGACTAAGTAATGCTACAAAAAACAACATTGATGAGCTTTCTTACACTGCAACACAATGGGTTAATGAAATGAACCCACCAATCTCGGTTAATGGAAATAGAGACTCTGGAATAGGTGACAATACAAGTGTTTCAGGTAAATAAAATAAATTATTTGCAGCTTTATGTTCCATATATGTATATATGTATGTGTGTGTATATGTGCGTGCGCGTGTACGTGTGCGTATGGCCGTGTGTGAGTATTAAGCCACCATAGAAATGCCCATTTTTTTTTCAAAGAAGCTTTATTTTAGCTATTGTACGACGATTATAAAAAAAAAATTCAATATTTTCAATTTGGCCTAAGACGTAATCAATTAGTCGTGTTGAATTCCCATGCTACAAATATCCTTGAATATGTGTAATCGACTTTTCTAAAAAAAATCAGCAGTTAATCTGCTTCAATTTTAGTAAATGCCAAAAAAAATCATTTTGGACTTGCAAATTATGGTTTTTTTTTCGAATATAGATATAGTACGTGTAGTGTATTTTTCAAATAGTGAGAATGTTTATTAATTTAAAAGATAAATGTTTTAAGAACATTTTAACAAAATTGGCTTGATATAATAATATTTAATTTTCAAATGTATCATTAATACAATTTTAAATTAAATTCTAGTATGATGTATTCAAATGATTTATTAAATTTAAAAAAAAATCATCAATAGCTAATATATCAAACCCGAACCCTAAACCATAACCCTAAGGGCTCAAATAAATAAGAATAATTTTAAATAAATCATCCCCTCTTCTTTCACCGTTACACGTTGTTTAATTTAACAAAGACTAAATACTGTATACCACACCCCAATCCCCGCCACCCACCTCACCCTAATTAAAAAAAACTAAAATAATTTTTTCCTAGGTATTTTTAAGAAGAAAAATGTAACTTGATTGCTTATTACTTTGTATTTATATTTGTTGTTTTCTAACAGATGACGCGGAAGTCTTTGAGGAAACAGAGTAAATGTCTACTTCTTACAAGGAAAAGCTTTATAATCTCTTTTTTTTTGTGCAGCAACATCGTGTCCTTTGGGAAGTTATTGGGTTAAATATTTTCAAAATTATTGTTAAAGATAAAAAAAATGCTTCTTCTTCTTTTCGTATGCAGATCTTGGATGTATAAAGTATAACCGAGTTCAAATGATTTATTAAATCCTCAGTTTGAAATAGTAGTAAAAATGGTTCTGTATTGATAAAATTGGCATTGGATACACTTTCTTTTTTTTTCAAATTTTTAACAGATCTTGAATGTGCAAAACCATTTTGAATAGAAGAAGAAATTGGTGACTGTTGTTTAAAAAAACTATTGTATAACGCTTTCACTGCGCACATGCTTCATTTCTATTGCAAGCTAAACATAATAGAAGTAAAAAATTTACTTCAATAACATCGTCCTTATTCTTTAAATATGAATATTATTTTATTATATAATTGAATTAATAATAAATTGCATAATAAAAATTACTAAAACAATTATCATTCAACTCATTACATTGAAATACCAACTGTTTGTCGAAAGAAAAGGTAACTTCAGATTAAAAAAAAAACTAAATGAATACATTTAATTTTACATATTATTTATTTCAAGACATTCAAGAAATATATTTCGTACAGAAATATATTTCGTACATGTTCCAATTGTTGTTCTCATTATATACCCACCCACACACACAGACACACACGCAAACATATATATATATATATATATATATATATATATATATATATATATATATATATATATATATATATATACATATATATATATATATATATATATATATATATATATATATATATATATATATATATATATATATATATATAGTTTTAATTTAGAAACGTATGGATTTTATACTTAAGTTTGACTTTTTTTTAGAACAAGGCTGTTGAAATTATATTTTAAAGACTCTTTCTACTTTAAGAAAGTTACATGTTTCAACATATATTTTACCATCTAATAACAGTTAATTATACTGTGATTAGTAATTTGTAGGTTTTATCAATATTAATCTAACTTTTCAAATTTACATTTAAATAGTTCTCTGTTAGATGTTACTTGTTTAATTTTTCGACTTGAGTAGAAAATTAAGTTTGATTATCATTTTATTCGTGACAGATAAGAATCAAATTAAGTCAAAGTTACAATTAAACATAAACACAGTAATATACAATCGATTACATAAATAAGCCAGCGCACTACATTTAAATACCACATGTAAAATACACCCCTACAACAAACGTTCACCGACAATTTTTATGATTCGTTCTTATTAGTACCAAACTGATCGGTTACGTGTATATTACTTATATAATTTCTGTACGTATTCGTAAATATTAAATTTTTGCTATTTTAATTTTCAAGGGTAGTAATGTGTACATCATTTCAATAAATTTAGAAATTGAAATTCACGAGCTTAAATCGTAAGAGTTAATATTAATAAAAAATAATGTAAGTCCGTCCGTCTACAACTCAATTCATCCAGTGATACTACTTAGCTTGAACTTTCAAAGTATGTCTTTACATTCAGATATATTTAAATAACTTATTGTCTATTTTTTCTAAATTGTATTTACGTTCAATTAAACTCGTATTCTACTTGAGTCTCATTTCTTCGAAACATTGCTAAAAATAATTTAAAATAATTAAAAAAAGACATTTCATTATTGTATTTTGAAATAATTAGACTCTTGTATATGTTTATATTGTGTAAAAATTTAAAATAACAACACAAAAAACGATAAACAGGCCCACTTTTTTAATAAAAATTATTTTTTTTGTCTGAAAAGCCATTTTTTAAACGCTGTGCAGTACCACATTACTTTATTTAATGAATGTGTATGGTAATTATTATATTGTATGTACAAAAGTGTCCCATTTTTGTACTGCAGCTAATTGTCACACTAAAGCCACAATTATGGGACGATTCTATTTTAAATAAATACTGTATTATCACGAAGCGTGTACTTTCTTTGTTGGCTGTTAACATTTTTTAAAAATCAAATTAAATAATGTTTAAGTGGAATGTTCAAACTCAAGAAAAGCAAATATTTTTTATCTTATTTTCTGAGGACAAAAGAAAGGAAAACATTTGAAAAATAATATTTGTTATTTTAACTACATCCAGTATACTATTTGCAGATTGGCTCTAACGTTTCAATACAATAGGTTATAAAAAGTATACAAATTACTACCTAACTTAGTTAACACATCATTCATATTATGCCAGCTTTGCCCCAAACAAATTGGTAGCCTACTACTAATCTGTTTTATTGTGATGTTTATGTTTTACATACACTAAAATCTTCTATGTCTGTATTGAACATAATTGTAACTGCAATCGTTATAATATGTATTTAGTAAACTGAATTAAAGTTAAGAAATAGAAATTTGCGAAACAGTTACCTAGTCTTAAATTGTAATATTTTTGCCAAATATTTTTGTTGAAATTTTTTAACTAAAATACTGTGCCCCCTCTTCTGTATCGTTTGAAACTGGAAAACAATATTGTTTCGATTTCCAAGAACATAATGTATACAAATATGCCTAAATAAATATAAAATTGTATCCTTATTTAATTTCACGATTTTTTTCTATGGAGCATCCCCCACTCCCATCCCCGATTCAATTTGGTTCCATCTAAGGAAAATTCATTTATAATAATTTTCAGATCAGTTTATATTTTTACGGGTTGCTACCTCTATTTACGCCGAATCTAAAAAAAAAAACATTCTGAATTATCAGGCTCAGGTGACGCCACACAAATATAATCTGATCTTAACAATATTTTAAGTTGTTACTTTTTTTTTTAAACAAAATGAAACCCAGTTTAAGGGGTAGGGGTGTGCCTTGTTTTAAACCCTACTTGAACAAACTAACTATAGCAAAACTGCTAAAACAGGATAACTTAGCGTCTTGATCCGCACCATCCACATAAAAGTAAAGTTCTTGTCCTTTCTTCATGTCAACAACCACTGACCCAGCAGCGCTTGTGTGGGCAGATTTAACTTCGATAACATTATACCACATGTCACGGGCCCAGATGCCAACTCTAATGAGTTTGTCTTCCCATTCGTGTAGAGTGACACAGACAAGATATAAACCATCGTGTGGTGATACAAATGTTCCTGTTGTTTGGTTGAAGTTTTGACTGTTATATTCCCGTACATCACCAAATCTTGAAACAATTGACCCTCGACTGACAGCTGTGTCACCTTTCAATTGTATATGACACGCATATCTGTTACAATCTCGTGTGTCTGTTGAGTATGAAAAATAGGCATTAGCTCAGAATCTGCACGCTTTTAAAGATTCATTTATAGTATAGTTGTGTTTGATTATGTAGAAAAGTTACAATGTGGTTGTAATAACGTTAGTTACCCGTCATATAAAATGATTCACAGTTGAAATTAGAGCAGTTGCTATTGTTTGGTTGATATATTTCCAAAGTCATGAACATAAACAAATAAATAATTAATTTCTGTTATAACTCACTGAGGTAAATATTATAAATATATGCTATATTGTTTTTTTATTTTATTTTAATGTATCCACTCTTGCACATATTATTCAAACAATAGTTTAGTATCCTCATTGTTAGTAGTGTACGTTTGCCGTTTCCTATGTATTTAAACTATTAGTTTAGTACCGTCTCATCAAAACTGTGAACGCCACAAGTTTTAAACGAGTACATGTGAAAATGAAAAAAAAAGCGCAGAGAGAAATATAAAGGTCATTAGGGAGATAAGCAGTCACGATAATCAAACGATATAAAATTGTTCACTATTAAGTAGATATAAGTGCAACTATATTCAGTGAATTTAAAATAAATTGTATTATGCTTTGCGTAACAGTCAAGATAGTAATTCAATGTCCCATACCCCCGCCCCCTGCCGACGTCCAAAGTAAGCTCCCACCTGCTTTTAAAACAAAATACACTTTATAAAACAAGTTAATTTCTTTACATTCTCCTACACAATGTTTTTATATAAAATGTGTTTATGTAAACACTTTTTCTAAATAATATACGTAACGTAACGAATTGTGTGCCATTTTGGGGGCTGGAACCAATGATGGCGTTTCATAAAAGAAAATGGGGAAAATTATTATATTCTATTTTAGTAAGCTGAAGTAATTAAATCATGTCTATATTCCTAGTTGCCATCTTTCTTAGTGTTATATAAGAATATACGAGAACGTTTAGGGGAGATCATTCCCGTTTTTTTTTGCATTTATATTAACAATTTTAAATGTATTTCTTTTTATGGCTGTGTCAATCTAAATTATGGTTTATTTTAACAATAATTAAAAAAATAAATTGTTTTTGAATTTGCTAAGTGACGTTTTGGTGACGTCATTTAAAAGCAGACTAGCATAAATGCGTGTTAAAACATTTTAATTCGTATTTAGCATAGCAACATTTATACTAATCGCAATTTCTTTAACATTCTGGACTTCACATAACCATATTTTAACAGCGCGAACTTAAAAAAAAAAGAATTATTCACATTGGAGTATATGTCCACCATACAATAAACACCACAATTTTGTATTACTACAGTTTTAAAACTAAATGGAATGTGTACTGCTTTATAAAAACATACCGATCGTATGAATATCTCTTGATAGCCTTTTTATCTCACTTTCGATGACCTCCAGCTTAAATTTAAAAAAAAAACATTTTTTTAAAAGTTATCAAATTAAATAATATAGGTAAGAAACTCAACTTGTGGATCTTTTGATATTGATAATTATAACATATTACATACATAATATAATGTTATAACTAAGAGTTTTGTCGCTAATTACAATACATTTGATGGCATCTGAAACGAATAATTAGAAACTTGATTTAAAGAAAAGCGTTAATGTGCATAAGAGTTTTAAGCAAAGGTTATAAGTTTTGGAATGTTCATTTATTTTTATCAAAATCACAAAATACGTTTATATTAAAGAACGTAACCTTCTTTAAATGCTGTTCTCTATTTTCGAATCTTTGGTTAAACATTTGAATCATTTTGTCAAAAGGCATCAATCTTTGTTCTAGGAGTTTGTACACCACGCTGTGCTGTGATTTTAAAACAAAAAGAATAAGTATGTCCTTTTAAATGCAGATATCATAATATATAAAAGACCTTGTGCGCATTTGTCTTTCCCTGTCTCTCTCTCTCTCTCTCTCTCTCTCTCTCTTTCTCTCTGTCCGTCACATATTTTCCAAAGCTTTAAATTCAGTATCTTCAGCGATACACGGAGAACTTAAAGATACGGAATTTTATTAAAAATATTTATGTGGGTGTATGAAATGTATCAACTAAATTTTATTTAAAGAAGGAAAAAAAATATTTTTTACTGTAAAAACACAACTTTAATTATTCAACCAGCGAGATTTGTGACAAGAACGCTCTAGAGAACATGTAAGTAACACAAAACTATCACTGGCAAATAAAATGACATCACAAGATACAAATAGAAAAAAATCCTTATTGAACAGTTACCAAAACGCTTGAACTACGGAAAGTACACAACACCAATGGCTTCAGTGATTGTAATATAAAAATATAATTACAAATTTAATGTAAAAAAAATGCAGGATACTAATGACGTCATCTTAAATAAGATTCGCTTCCCACATCTTTCAATTCTAGAATATGATTTGATTTCGATTTATAGATCTACTTATCAATACGCATGCTATGAAATGCATACAATTTTCTCGGCAAAAAATTGTAAAAAAAAAATAGTTTGAAAAATAAAATACTATTAAATAGTCGGGTTTTAAAAGAAGTCACTTAACCCGTGTGGGCATTTAATATGCTTTGGTGTTGACTAATAATATTCAAATTTGTTTTAATTTTTCTAATTGTTATTGGTAGCCTATGCTATATTTAATGTGTAAGAGTCTTAACTATTTAGTTATTTCTTTGGTCTGTCACTAATATCGTTCAATGTGCAGTAAAGCACATTGTGTTTTGAACAATAACTATTTTATAAAATATATATCTCAAACATGTATAATATTTATAAAGTATAGGCCATAAAACAACGGTTCAAAAAAGTTCAGTTTCATAATGTAAACACTTATAGGCTCAGCTGTTTAGTGTTGTGTCCAGATTTAAACTTGAAATTACAGATGAGTTTAAGAATGGTTTTCACAAATATTTCGAAAATGTAATTTTAATTTGACGTACCTTTAATTGTAACTTATCAATCCTGTTTGATGTGTCGGCCATTATTTTGCTATTATCTGTGTAAACTTGCATCTCTGAATTTATTTTCTGCAAGCTGTTTTCATATTTTTTCATATCTAGAGACATTATCTCTAGTGTTTTGTTTGACTTGGCATCTTTTTCTTTTAAACATTCAATTTCTTTGTTCAGCTCTTTTACTTTGTTATCTTGTTCACTCATTTGTTTTCTGAGGTTTTTAAAATTCTGCTTTTGCTTTTTACTTAATTGTTCAATTTTCGTTGTCCAGTCGCACTGTTCTGTTACCAAGGTTTCTCTCCATTGTTTCAGTTCTGATACGTCATATTCAGTCTTTTGTTTAGTTTCTTGAAGGGAAACTATAGCTTTCTCAACAAGTTTCACTCGATTTAACAAATCTGATTTGAATAAGATTGATTATATTTTATATGTATTTTGAATACAAGGTTTAAACCCATTTCAGAAAGAAAATGAGAGATGCTTCCATAGACTAGTAACAACACTTTTTAAAAATTAAACTAGTATATTCTAACAACTTTTTAAACGTAAATAGTTAATAACTGTTTAGGTGACATTAGTTACAACACCTATTAAACTTATATTTGTTCTTTAGTTTAAAAACCTCTCTCACCAGTTTGAGATTCCTTGGTGTCTGTTAGACCAGGTGTCTTGTGTTGTACAACTGTCGTAGTAGACTGTATGTTGTATTCTGTAAAAAAAAATGGTTGGTCTAAAGATGTGTCATTTGAAACTTTTTAAAATTGGTAAGAATCTATAATTTAATTTAGAAAAAAAGCTCTAAAACAAATATGTTTATATCAAGACCGAAAGTAACACTCAGTTTAGACTTTGATTTGATTTGCTACATGCTTAATCAATCTAAAATAACTATATTAACCAATATGTGTTTAAAAAAACTCTTGCTTTGTGTATGCTCAACATAAAATAAACACTATTCTCTAAACTCTAAAGTAATAGCTAAATGCCATGCCTAAATTTTCTGTTATATGTTACACAATTTATGTTTCAAAACTGAGATTAAAGAACTAAAACCAAAAGCTGAACATAGCATTTAGGCTGCCAAATCTAAAAGCAAGATACAAATGTTAAGTTTACCAGCTATAATATCTAGATGTTCTATCAATGTAGCATTCGCGGATGTTACCATGGCAACTACATCTTTAAATGCCATTTCAGTGTCAGACATTTTATCCATCCAGTTCTTGGCTTTTAGTTTGATCTAATTAATTAGAAAAAATAGATAAGTAGATAAATAGTTTTCTAATCTTGATACATGTTTACTTTATAAATGCTCGTTTTTAGCAAAGGCATAAACCATACAAGAAAATATAAATATTTTAAATACAGGTTTACAATTCACATAAGTTCGATTAAAAGTATATAAGTACATTAAAAACATATACATTAGACTCACCTGTGTGACAAAATGACTTAAATTACTTTGTAGATGAACATGCATCTTCTCTAACTGTTCCAACAAAATATTCAAAGATTCATGGGTGGGGTTGTACTCAGACATCTACATGTAAGTAATAGATAGGCTAAATAAATGTTCATTTTAAAGTAACATCTACATGTAAGTTATAGATAGGATAAATAAATGTTCATTTGAAAGTAACATCTACATGTGTTTTATAAAGTGGCACCTCTACATTGCTGACCGAAAAAGTGATCATAAATGCATGTGACTCTTAATAACATACAGTGGCGTAGTTAGTGTAGGGCGGGTGGGGAGGCTGCCGACCTTAATGGAGTGTCAAATCGCGTAGAAAACATTGATAGATGAGGTATTGAATAATCTAAGTGTGGCTCAAAACAAAAAGTAGTGACTGGTAAAAAGCGCCACCAACCTTTTCAACTGGTGCTGCGGTGGGGGGTGGGGGGGGGTGGGGGTGGGGAGGGGGAGATTTTTTAACTAACGTCAATAAATATAATTCAAGTGGGAGGGGGCACAAAATTGGTAGTTCGCCCCGGGGCCGGCTTGTGTCGCTACACCCCTGATAGCATACGGCTGCAGATGCAATACCCCAGTGAAATATTTAAACTGCGAGACACAAATGTTACGTATTTGACTGTTTTAAGTTTCAGCTTAAACTTGCATTTTACGCCCTCTACATATGACATATTGAAATCAATTTCGCATTTGAACTTCACCCACGTTAGTTGCTATGTAAATAATTAAAACGACGTGTTTCAGATCTACAGTTATTTACTTACCTTTAGAATACGTTGTTTTGATTTCTTTTGATCTACACGTAGTTAAATCACCACTACAAGAGAGATAACTCTAATATTGACAACGCGTTTCGGGAAATCCCGCTATTATTTAACGGAGGAAGTTCTGCAACTCTACAAAATTCCAGTCGTTTGATTCCTTACAACAAAAATAGCCCTACTTAAAGTACTGCTAATCTTTAATCTATTTTCATCTATTTTTAAAACAGTATTTCCTTTTAATTTAACCAAACAACCTAAAAATAATGAATTTCAAACAAAATCAAAAGCTCTTCTACTTCCTTAATTCTTACTTAGTTATATATAATTATATTGTCTTAATTATAAAGCTTGATAATATGTAATTTCCTTAAAATATACTTATTAATAGAAAAGTATGTAGGTCGTTTTATAAAAAAAAGTATTTTATTACTGTATATTTAGGCAATTCACAGACAAATTGTAAAATAGTTCATCACAACGCTTGATAGATAATGAAAGTGAAAAACGGAAATACCCAAGTGTATAATTTTAGCAAGCAGGAAATAACATAAGTGAAGCCAAGGAAAACGTATTATGTATTACATAATTAACTAAATTAGTTAACAGATCTAAAAAAGAAATATAACAATATTTATTTAAAGAAGTTTTCATTTAATTGTGGATTGCCAGTTATAGTTTAATAATTTAGGACAAAAACTTAGTCTTGGTAGTTTTTTAACTCATATATTAGATTTTATTTCATTGTTATAATTAACTCTTTATTTACTGAGTTAATTTCTGGATGAATTTTTTTTCTTAAACAATGAATTATTATATTACTTTTGGTAAACTAAAATTATACTTGACTCAAGGAAGATTATCAAATATAAATAATTATAAAGATTCACCTTAAATTAAAATAATTTATGAAACCGTCAGTAGATAAAGGGTGGCACTTGAAATTTTCGGGGGCGGGGGGAGGTGGGCGAACTAAAATTTCAAGGAAGGGGATGCGGACACTGTTAAAAGTATATATTTTCGATATTTCGTTATGGGGGCGGTAAACTATCTTCGAGGGGGGGGGGGGTTACCTTGAAGAAACACTTCTTCTTCGCTCTTAATTTTTAGTGGTGGCGGGGATCGAGCCTTATCTGCCAGATGAAACACTGCTTTAGATTTGTTTAGTGATGATGACAGAGTTAACATATGTTTTAAATTTAGTGTTTTTAACATTTAGATGCCTTCAAGAATTCAGGTCAAGCTTGTTACAGAGCGCAAGAAATATTTGGAAGAACAGATACAAGTTCTGGAACCTGTTTTGGGAAATATGAAAAATGTAAGTCAGTACAAACTAAAAAGTCTTCGTAATACTTAAAATCTAAAAATCATTTTATTCACGATAAAGTAAGTTTAACGTTTTTCGAAGTGCATGTGTGAAAAACACAGAACAACAACACGTGTTTAGGAATATAGCAATACAACACGTGACCACTCTAAAATATTGTTGTTGTTTGCTATAACCAGGTTGTTGCAAAAAGTAAGGCGTGGCTAGAAGAAAAAACTGACCAATCATCTGTCAGCTACATCGAGCTATCACAAGAACTGGACACAGCAGCCACGGCCTTGTTGGATGTGACGTCACATATTTTAAGTCAGTACTTTAATAGTTTTTATAATTTAAAATCTCAAAACCTACTGTCAAGTGTCATGTGTGTTCAGTAATAAAGTGTTTCTACTGAGAAAAATGCAACGAAATTCTTTTACAGTTTAGTTTACAGGCATTACAAATACTAAGTTAAAGAGATATAATTTTACTGTCTAACAAACCACTTTCCTTTTTTCTAAGAAATCGACGTCATATTAGTGAATATTGTAAATCATTATATGAACACAAAAAAAGATTTTTACAATCACATCGTGTAACCTTATTCGCCCAAAAACAACGTTGAAGAGCCTTAAATGTCTATAGAACATTAAGGTTTTTTAAAATTACTTTTTATAATAAAATCGATAATTATTCTTGTAAAAGTTAAATTCAAAACAATATATAGATTTCGGTTATTTTGGAATTATTTGTGTTTGTATACGTTTAGATCATATTCAAAGTTGTTTTTGATCAGAGTATTACATGGTTTGCGTTATATTTTAACTAGGTAAAATCGCGACATTTATTGTGTGTATTATAAAATCCCTGTTTACTTCAACTGCAATTAAAATAAAATTCTAAACCCCAATCCACCAGATGAAGACAACATGGATGTCAACAAACCAACGCCATCTTTACCACAGCCTGACACACAGACAACAGCAACATTTCTAACAGTAGAATCAACAAAACAACTCAAGACTCAAGTCCAACTTACAGCTGGTATGTCGTAGTTTTGTTTGGTATAACTAGTTAAGTAGCTGCATTGTAAGCCGTATACAATGCGAAAGCTTGTACGGTTTGATACTGTTTAATTAAAAAAAAAAGAAAATTAATTTCGTTGTGTTTTCTTTTTTAAAGATCCTATTTTTCAACATTTAATTCCTTTAAAATCATAAATTGTATATGTGCGACTATTCTCAGTTGAAGAACATTCTGACCTAGAGCGTAGACTCGCCTATATTGAAACAACACTATCTTCACTAAAGGATACACAACACAAGTCTACAAATGACATATCAGAAATAAAACAATGGAGAGACAACTTTGTAACAGAACAGAGTGACGTGGAGGTAAACATTAAACAACTGACTAAAAAACAAAAGCAGAATTTTAAAAACCTCAGAAAACAAATGAGTGAACAAGATAACAAAGTAAAGGAGCTGAACAAAGAAATTGAAAGTTTAAAAGAAAAAGAATCCAGGCCAAACAAAACACAAGAGAAACTGCCTCTAGATATGAAAGAATATGAAAACAAAGTGCGCGAAATAAACAAAGAGATGCAAGATATAAGAGACAGTATGAAAGAAGGAATTAAAAGCCATTCTGATTTGATTGTTTCTTTACAAGATGAAAATAATAAAATCTTGGACAAAACATCAACCCAATTTGAAAAGTTACAATCAAAGGTAAATTTTAAAATTGCTGTATTTTTTGTACACAGTTCTATTCTTACTTGCAATTCAATTTACTTCAAATTGTTAAAAGGGGCAGTTGACTAATTTAGCCTATAATCATACATTTTATATAAATGCTAATTGTATATGAGTTTTAATATACAATAAAAATAGTTAAATATATAAATCTTCAATTTAGCACAATGTAATGTATAAACTCCTACAACAAAGATTGATGCCCATTGACAAACTGATTCAAATCTTTAACAAGAACTTTGAAACTAGGGAAGAAAAATTAAATAAGGTATGTTTGTATAAAAAATTATTTGCAACATTGATAAATCCTAAATTACTCCAGTAATGTCCAGAATTTTTTGGGAATTCACTAATAAATAATTTATTAATTAAATAAGAATATACAATAAATCATTTCTTTTCTTAAAAGTTACCATTATCTATTAAAGATAGTGAGTCAGTAGATATGTGATTGTTTCATTTATTCCCTTTACACTTTATTTTAATTTAGCTGGGTGAACTTGAAACTAATATTTCAAAGTTGTCTAACGATTTTCATCTCATAGGTAAGTTTGCTTTGTAAAAAAAGGTTTTTAAAATTTATTTATATAACAATAGTGATTTTATGACAATTCTATCTATTGATTTTCTCGTTTAAATGTAGGAATAGTAAAAGCTATCAAATAATTCTCAATGATAACCAATCGGTAAAATGTTTTATACGTTTGTTTACCGCCCACTCTCACGCTCTCTATAAATCTCTTACTCTCTGCATTTTTAATCAATTTAAACTTGAAATGTTGATAATTAAATAAATGTCTAACCAAATTGAAAGGGAACAAAATACTATTTAATATCTGCAAGCAGGCATTATGAATTAATTAGTATTTGCTTTATTATAGAAAATGTAGGGCCTACATCTTTTGCTATCTACAAAACAAGACGAGAATATAATTTTCGCTTATCTGAGGTTTTTAAAATGATTCTCATTTTGTGTATTATGTAATAGCTTCAACACATTATCTAAACAAATTAAATAAAGATCAAGTATAATTGACTACTTTTAGTTTTTAAATTCGCCGCCTAGACCGCGCCTCATTCTATTGTGAAATGATCACCACACCAGTTAAAATACCACACCAGTTAAACGAAACAAAATAAGTCAACCAAACGCGCCTCTTTTCAATGTTGTGAGACGCCGCGCCGACTACACCGTGTCATAAGTGCTATATAACCACCGCAACACGTCGGCTAAACAAGGTTTTCAAAACTTACACCAAGAGAGTATAAAACACCGCCGCCAACATAGCATTACATTATTAAAGATTAAGTTTTTTTTTTACAGCAATTTCTCAATTTTCAAACATTACATGTAAAATTTTACACATTTAAAAACATATAAACCAATTTGTTTTTTATACCCAGAATTGTGTTATCAAAATGTCAAACTTTTTATTGATTAAGAATGTCTATTTGATATTAACAAATGCCCATTCGGATGTTTGTCGCATTCGGGCAATCGACCTTGGGGCAAACGGCATTCGGGCATGTGTATTTCGGGATTTTGTCGTACTCCCGGTTTTAGCATAACGTATATAACATTTGTTGTACGTTTTGTGACGATTTAATTGACCTACTAAACTGGTAAGTTTAATACGTGGGAAACGATAAACTAACACCACACAAACTAAGGACCGTACTAGTGGTCTAGTGTTTCAATTTACGGTCTTTGACAAAGTTATGTAAACATTATGGATTCTTATATACGGTTTATTTTAAAAAAAATAATTGTTTGATTTGGGTTTGTCAATTTTACTTACTTTATAAACTGCATACAAAACACATATAATGAGATGATAACATAAACTAATGAAACGACAATTTACAAATATTATGGATCAAGTAGTCAGAACATTCGAAAATTAAACATATGTTTTCTAATCAACAGAGTCATGTGTAGGTCACAGATATGCTTGTCATGTGAAGCTTGATAGCACACCTATCAGTGTTGGATTAATTATTTCAAGATTCTGGGATGTACATGAATATAACGGTCCACATTTTAATCGAACAACAGGAAAATTTGTATCACCACATGATGGTTTATATCTTGTCTGTGTCAGTCTAAGTGAAAGGGAAGGTAAACAGATTGGAGTTAGCGTGATGGCTGGAAGCAGGTGCTGTACGCCAATAGAAGTGAAATGTGCAAGAACTAGCGCTGCTGGGTCAGTGGTTGTTGACATGAAAAAAGGTCAAGAAATTTACCTTGAAGTGTTTCAAGCAGATCAAGGCGCATCTTTATCCTGCTATAGTAGTTTTACTATCGTTAGTTTATAGGAGTACAACACAAAACATGGTGGATGGTAAATTCTCAAAACAATAAAACATGTAACCAACACGTTATGCACACGCTAGGACCTTTGACCACAGGTGCTTTGACCATAGGGGGTTTGACCATATGGGGTTTGACCACAGCGGAGCTTTGACCATAGGGGCTTTGACCATAGGGGGTTTGACCACAGCGGACCTTTGACCATAGCGGTGCTTTGACCATAGGTGGGTTTGACCATAGGGGGTTTGACCACATGTGTTTTCTCAGCAGAGGGTCTTTGATCACAGGTGGTCTATCAACTGGTGTTTGATCACAAGTGCTGTGTCCGGCTTTGATCGTAGGTGTTTTGTCCACATAGGGTCTTTGATCTCAGGTGGTTTGTCCAATGCTGTCCATATATGGTAAGGATTTATTTTAAAAGTTGCTAAATTATATTTTTAATTTCGACATGATGTAATAATATGTTAAATCATCATGTATAAATACAAGTCATCTAAATTACTCTGTCAAAACCATGGAGAATCTTGGAGAGTATAGCATGTCGAAAAAAGGTAAATGAACTTTGTTGTATCGTGGCCACGAGTTTTGGCTACACAGAGAACTCCAGGACGGGTCACGCGTTTGGCGGTGTACGAAGAATCGTACTTGTAAGTGCAAAGCTTCAATAGTTGCACAAGATCTTGTGATTATAGGAGAGCTGATTTCTCAACATTCGCACGAAGGAAACATTAGCTATGTTTTGGCAAAACGAGCTGTTAAAGAAATGAAAAGAAGACTGGAGGATACTCTTGCTACTCCAGCTGCACGAAAAAGTACAACGTGCTGTCCAGACATATGGTCAAACAGATGTACTGACATATTTGCGTGCTATAGCACATCTGTCATTTAGTTAACCATTTTATATATTACATCTTTGACTATATTGTTGGCAAGTTTTGTATCATTTTTTATCCTTTATATATGCTATGTATTTTCAAGTACATCTACATTATTATTTTGTGAAACTTGTTATATGTCGCATTATTTGTGTTTCATTTATATTTAAAATAAATCTATGAGGCCTAGCAAAAGCCTTTATGTGGAGACTAAAATATAGTTCTTGGTTTTTTTTAAAATACATCTTAATTTCTATTAACGTACTCTCAGGAAACATGTATAAACTCGTGTTAATTGTATCACACCTATGATCAAAGCCGGACACAGCGCTTCTGATCAAACACAAGTTGATAGACCACCTGTGATCAAAGACCCTCTGCTGAGAAAACACATGTGGTCAAACCCCCTATGGTCAAACCCCCTATGGTCAAAGCACCGCTATGGTCAAAGGCCCGCTGTGGTCAAACCCCCTATGGTCAAAGCCCCTATGGTCAAAGCTCCGCTGTGGTCAAACCACCTATGGTCAAACCCCCTATGGTCAAAGCACCTGTGGTCAAAGGTCCGCGCACCAACAACTTATTACATGTACATAAACATTTAATGGTTTGTATGTTGTTTTTTTTAGTCATTATTACACAGTTCCAACTAATTCAATGTGATCACCAATTAATATGTTGAACGTGACCACAATAAACATATCTTTCTTCTTCTTCGTTCTTAATTTTTAGTGTTGGGAGGAATCGCGCCTTATCTGCCAGAGGGTTTGAACTCGAGACTATTTTCGAATGTATCAACCATGAGCTTTTCCGACTCGACCATGCTTCCATCACAATTAAGGATTACGTGTCAATGGGTTATGCGCCATTGAGGCCATTGACTCCGATTTCAGCCTGCTTTTCTTTTTGGATTTGCTTCCATAGCTTCCTATATATATATATCTATATCTATATCTATATCTATATCTATATCTATATCTATATCTATATCTATATCTATATCTATATCTATATCTATATCTATATCTATATCTATATCTATATCTATATCTATATCTATATCTATATCTATATCTATATCTATATCTATATCTATATCTATATCTATATCTATATCTATATCTATATCTATATCTATATCTATATCTATATCTATATCTATATCTATATCTATATCTATATCTATATCTATATCTATATCTATATCTATATCTATATCTATATCTATATCTATATCTATATCTATATCTATATCTATATCTATATCTATATCTATATCTATATCTATATCTATATCTATATCTATATCTATATCTATATCTATATCTATATCTATATCTATATCTATATCTATATCTATATCTATATCTATATCTATATCTATATCTATATCTATATCTATATCTATATCTATATCTATATCTATATCTATATCTATATCTATATCTATATCTATATATATATATATATATATATATATATATATATAGATATATAGATATATATATAAAATGCATTTTGGACATGCTACCCTGTTACTAAGAGACATATAGCTAAGCTGTGTTGATCCTAACACAACCGTTAATCAACAAATATCTTGACTCTTTCCATTTATTAATCTAAATTATACATACAGCACCGCCTATGTTTCACAAGCATAATAAAAGCAAGAAACATTAGGCAGGCAGAAAGTTACTTCATGTGTAATATAAACATCAGATTAAAGAAATAATAAGCCTTTTAAAAAAGTTAAAACAACTTAAAATATAAAGACATACAGTAAATAAGGAGATGCATTGTGTGTGGAGAGGGGGGTCTTGGTTTAATTAGGGATTTTTAAAAAAAATACTTAGTTTATTTAGTTGGGTTAAGGTTTAGTGAAGAACGTAATTTTTACGTAACTTAAACAAGGCTACTCGAGTTTTATTTCTTTTTTAAAATGAGAAATAAACCACTATAGCTTACGTGTTTTCGCACATCAAACAACTCTCAAGACCGTTAAATAGATGATTCGCTTTAAAATGTATGTCTTTTCGCCACAGTTTTAAAAAATAAAACAAGATCTTATTCTATATTCCAATATAGTCTATCCATAAATAGCCGTTGCTACTAGTCTGTTTTCGTCTTCTGTTCTTTGTCTAGTCGTGTTATTTAAGTTAAGTGTGATTGCTTTATTTGTTGTGGCTGTTTGATTGCTGGTTTTTCATATGTTCGTAAGAGTTTGGTTTGCTTTCTGTACTTGTATACTATCTTAATACAAAACAAGTATACAGCTATCTAATTACTATCAGTGAAGTAGCATGGACCTGTCTACCTTAGTGTTGGCTACCCATGGGTCTAGTTGATGTAGAGGGGCAGCGGGTGGGGTCGTCCCCTGCCGACAGCAGGGAAGCACAAAAAGCGGTAAAAGTCAATTTTAATAAGCTGAAGTTTTGAATTATAAACGGTCAAAGTTAAGAAATTAAACGGATACATGTCTTTATTCAACTGCTTTCTGCATTGCTTGGGTAAATGTGAAGTACACTCTTAAGAACCAGAGACCTGGAAAGATCGTTTACCATCAAGATGGGAGAGGAGGGGGTGCAATTCTGTCGACTAAAATCGGAATGATTTATCCTGGACTGGTAGATGACCGTTATAACATTTAGAAAAGAAACCAAGCCTATTGTGTAGCGATAAAATAAGAAAAAAGTGGCAGGGGATGATTTTATCGGAATGGTAAGTAGATAAATCATAATACATCTAGAATAATAACCAATTGTATTAACTCGTAATATACGATTTCACTTGCCAGTTTTGTTAGAAAATCACGTAACTAGTTCATTGTAGTTAAAAGCTACTTTTCTCTCAATTGCTTGGGAACATGGAATTAACTTGAAATAAATATCATGGATTCGTACGTCGCTACCTAAACAGTATAATAGCATACTCAGTGCCTTAGTTGTTGCTACCCAATGTTTCTGCTTTTGGTAGAAGGCCTATGTGCTTTTTCGGTACGTTCTCCTGCTCTAATACTCGAATAATAGTGCTATTGATACCCAATGACAGTGCTGTAGCTACAATGTTGTGGGTACTCAATGCTAAAGCAGTGGGTACTGAGTGCTGAAGTCATGTGTACTGAGTACTTGGTGTCACTTTTTTGGGTACTCAGCGCTGGCGCTATTGGTAATCGATAACATTGTTAAAAGTACTCAGATGTGGGTGCTCAGTATCACTGCTGTGAATTAGGGTTAGGGATTTACCCTGGACTGGTAGATGACTTATAACATTTAGAAAAGAAACCAAGCGTATTGTGTAACGATAAAAAAAGTGGTAGGGATGCGTCGCTTTTTGCCAAGATAAATGGGGATGATTTATATCGGAACGGTGTGTAGATAAATCATTATTATCTTTGAATAAAATATCCAATTGTATTACCGCGTAATATACGATTTCACTTGCCAGTTTTGTTAGAAAAGCTACTGTTCTCTCAATTTCATCTTTTAAGTTTACCCATCTTGCCTGGAAACATGGAATTAACTTGAAATAAATATCATGGATTCGTACGTCGGTACCTAAACAGTAAAATAACATACTAAGTGCCTTAGTTGTTGCTACCCACTGTTTCTGCTTTTGGTAGAAGGCCTATGTGCTTTTTTGGTACGTTCTACTGCTCTGATACTAGAATAATAGTGCTATTGAAACCCAATGACAGTGCTGTAGCTACAATGTTGTGGTTACTCAATACTGAATCAATGGGTACTGAGTGCTGAAGTCATGTGTACTGAGTACTTTGTGTCACTGTTGTGGGTACTCAGTGCTGGCGCTGTTGGTAATCGATAACATTGTTATAAGTACTCAGCTGTGGGTGTTCAGTATCACTGCTGTGGGTTAGCGTTAGGGATTTACCCTGGACTGGTAAGTAGATGACTCTTATAACATTTAGAAAAGACACCAAGCGTATTGTGTAACGATAAAAAAAGTGGTAGGGGTGCGTCGCTTTTTTTTTGCCAAGATAAATGGGGTTGATTTATATCGGAGTGGTAAGTAAATAAATCCTTATAAATCTTTGAATAAAATCCAATTGGATTGCCGCGTATTATATGATTTGACTAGCCAGTGGGTACTTAGTGCTAAATCTGTAGGTGCTCAGAGTCACTAAAGTGGGTACTCAGTGCTGAAGCTGTGGGTACTTAATAACTATGTTATCAGTACTGGATGCCTGTATAATGCCACTGATGTGGCACTGGAGTGGGTATATTTGTCAGCATATTTTAACGCTACTGTATTGATTTCGAGGTGTACGTCTATTGTAAGTGTTATTATTGTCATGGTTACTGTGAAGACCTATCTTTGGTGTTATCGAGGATAGTTGTCCACCACCTCACTTCCTGTTGTTGTATTTAGTTTTTTATATTCTTCTCATATTTTACAATCCTATTTCAAAGCTATTTTTTTTTATATTGTACCCAGCAGCATGATCACTGTTTTTCAGCATCGTTCTGTCCATATACCGAAGTCCATGAAACAGGTGAACTCTACCTCACCCGCCTCATGTCCCGTAACGTTCGAAAGTGTACATTATATATAAAGGAGAAGCCTATATTAACAACCTTCCTTATTTAGAGCTTGAAGCAACGACAGCTAGGCGAAGCATCACTTTCCTGTGCACTTGCTTGGTACCCAAGTACAATTGTATGTCTTGTTGCTGTATGTCTTGTTGTTACGCAAAAACGTAACATAAAGATAGCTTCTTTAATTATTCTAATATGTGAAATAAACTGTTAATACACATAAAATAGTGAATAATAAAACTATTAGCACTTTTGTAGCTTAACTTAACTATTCATTTAGTAATAATAATCATTATAAGTGGGCTAAATTCATGAACACAATTTTTGTTCATGTGCTTGAGTCAACGGAGTGTGACGTCATAAAAAAGTTAGAAAACTATAAGTATAAAACTATTTATGCTAAAGCTGACAATATTTTTGCTTGCGGATCAACTGTAGTTCCGTTGAAGAAAGGTCAAGAACTATATTTTAAAGATCAACAATCAGGACCAGGGTCTTTTCTGCAAAAAGGAAGCGGTTTCACTATTTTAAGAAATTAGCTGAAAGGAATATAGTGTATTTCTAAACCAAAAATTTAAAATCAAAATATTATCTCAGTTGAATATTATCATAAGTGTTAATTCTCGCTATGAGCTTATAATTAAGAACATAAGACATAAGAACTTTACTTCATCTGCCAAATGGATCGCTAGGTGTGAAGAGGATTATTTACTTTATACACTGAAGATATCATGACTATTTTATAACCCTACCTAGCATTACTTTTACTTTATATAACATTCATATTTGTAATATTATTACGTCCTAAATAAGAAAACAAATTAAAATAGATGCAGTAAAACTGATTTGACAATGATAAATTTTACTCTAAACTTAATACATATGATTGTATTTTGCAAATTTAACATTTGTATTTTATTCGAAATATATTTTTTATTATTCATGGTAAGCCTATAAAAATTTGGTTCTAAATATTTATATTGTTTAACACCCATTGTTGTCTCATGTGTTGTAGAAAAACCTACTAAAAGTGGTATCGCTTTTGGCAAATTATTTTTTAAACAAACCTATCTTCACTATAAGACAGATGATAAGCAAACAGATCAAAAACCAGTTCCTAATATAATGTCTATTTCATCACTCTTAAATATGTGCCAAGCACTACACTAACTAGCACAAAATTCAAGAAGGTGGGTGGATTTCGTGGTTATGAAAACTTGAGGTGATTAGTTAAGAGAACACTTTTCATTTTCATATCAATGGCTCGTCTTTTACACAGGCGTCTACTGAGATTTTATAAGATCCGAGGTTTATATTTCAGCCATCTTATTTACTTGTTATTTACACTACGCAGACTTTGTGTAATACATAAAATATGTATCACTGACATACAACCAATTTAGTTTATGAACACTCTATCAGCAGTCATTTTCTGTTTGATTTGATCATATTTGAAGTCTAGCAGATATAAGTGATCAAACCAGTCAATGATTGCATGATAAAACGATTTGATGTTACATGTGTTAATATTAAACTAAGATAAATGAAATTATATTCAACCAAAGTACAGGTAAGTACAAAGTACACATAAAACAAACATCACTAAATCTTAGCTGCAATTTGTGTTCATGACTTCACACATTGTTGCTTAAGTAGAGTCCCAATTTTTACTGTATTGGATCTAGAGTGAATAAATCAAGTGCTAAACAGCTTAGAACCTAGGATTATTCAGTCAAATATAAGTTTACATTTAGCAAACCTAAAGTTAGTGATAGATAAACTTTAGCCATCGGACTTATCACAGACTAGATAGTTGAGCTAATGCACTTTAATGATACAATCATACTGATGTACTGTTTTTAATTATTTAAAAATAATTTTAAGAAAAAAAATTAAAATAATTTCCAACGCACTATTTCCTTCCGATGTAGGGTGATATACGAATATACCTTAAACGTTCAGCGGAGATCACTCTTGCTTAAATTTTTTAATAGTATTAGTATGTCTTAAAATAATATTTTACAGCGAATGTATACGTTTGATCACAACAAATTTTAATATATTACTTTCCTACTAACCCATATCCTGCTAGCGTTCCAGAGCTTGTAAAACAACTACTGAAATTAATTAAAAACAAGTCTATTTAGGAAAAAAACAATGTTTCTTTGCATTAATTGGACAATTTTTACTTTCTCGTATAGGTATATAAACTATCAAGTTGTTTGATTACAGTTTTGACAATTATATTCATGTATATCTTTAAATCTTGACATAATTAAACCATGGCGGAAAGTTGATTAGACATAATGTTTTACGATGTATATCTTCTTTTAACAATGGCATGCGATGCACATGACTACTTTAAAATGTCTTAACATTAAATTATGTATGAACACTCAAAAACAAACACTGTGTATGTTTAATTGTATGTATTTTAAAAAGAAAACGAAAAAGAAGTCAAACTATTTGGTTAAAAAAATTAAGAGTAGATTATAATTCAGTGTGTTCACATATTTCTCTATAATAGTACTGCCACAAACAGTGAAACCTACCTATTGAAACGATATGCACATGCACACAATATAGGCACATGGGATAATCAAAAACAATCGAAAATGATTTGGTGTGAAATCAACGATAAACTACTTATTTCATACGCATTTTTAAATTTACAATCTAATTATAGTGAAGCTACTTCCTCCTTGTAGCTTAGCTCCATCGTCAGCTTTTTCCACTTTAAAAAAAAGTTCATGGCCTTTCATCATGTCAACAATAGTTGATCCAGCGGCAGATGTGTTGGCTGAGTTAACAAAAATCCACTTATACACTGAGTCATCCTTGCACACACCAATTTGAATCAGTTTATCCTCACATTCCTGCAGCGTTACAATAACAAGATAGGAACCATCATCTGGTGCTACAAGTTTTCCTGCGGTTCTATTAAATTGACTGCCGTTAGGTTCCCACACGCTATAAAATGTTGAAAGAATTGACCCAGTAGTTACAGGTGTGTTGTTAGCCAGGTGAATTTGACAGATGTAAGGCTGACATACACGGGTCTCTGTTGGAAAGTATTTGTTAGAGTTTAATCATGAACTTTTGCGCAAGAGTCTCTGTGTCTTTCCATAACTATGTGTATGTTTACTGATTAACATACCGATAGACTTAAAATCTTTCAACAGATTTGCAAGCTCACTTTCTCGATTTTCAATCTAAAATGTGTGTAAAATTTACAAGTAATTGTATTAGAAATGGTGTTCGTACGCAAAATTCACTCATGTAAACATGAATGTCTCACATTCTTAAAATATTTAACACCTTATTTTTATTTAAATAGCTAGTTAAATACTAAATACTAGTTCATATTATTTTAACAAAGTTAAAAGAATGTAAACTAGTATTTAGTTTTTAACAATGTTATAATAATCAATAGCTAAATCAAGAAAGCAATATATCAATCATAACTGATAAAAAGGATACCTTTGTAGTTAAAGCTACTAAAAGGTCCTTAGTATTGGCCATATTTTTCTTCCCTTCATCTTGTAGAGTTAAAGTAACAGCAGAGTGGCTTTTGATGTCTTGTCCTGTTTTTTTAGCATCCGTTATCAACGACATTAAATAAAATGATACTCTCATATTTATTACTGCTGAACTATGTGTCCTAATTTTGTTGTGTTTAATTGTATAAATTCAGTTTCAGCTATCGTTTGTTAAAACATGAAGGGGTGGGGGAGTTGTGGCATATATGCTAAAGAATAAATGGGAGAGTATGATTCAATACTTTTTTTTTGTTTTTCTTATATTAGCAGCAACAGGACAGATGCACTTGAAAGATTTCATAGTATGTGAAACATGCGTTTTTAATGTGTGTTTGTTTTGTCTTTATTTGACTTGCGAGCAACAGTGACTGTTTTTCTGTTCTGCTTTTTCTATTTGTGTAAGAGTGTGTTTGAGTGTGTGTTTCTGTGTGTGTTTCTGTATGTATGTCTATGTGCTCCATGAAAATAAGTTCCTGTTTGAAGTATTTCTCTCGTGCGCAACCCACTTACTGTGTTCTATTTTGACAATAGCCCTCATTAAACCCTTATATTATGAGCCCATTTGTTAAACAATTTGTCCTATACACCTATTTCTCTAAATGAGCAGTTTAGCTAGTACGGATTGCAATTATTATTATCAATATATTCCTTACTTATCCATTTATTTAAAAATATTCAGCATTGATAAACTGGCTGGTTGTTGTCCTCTAAAAATAACTTTGACCACTTCAAAATATAACACGTGAAAACACTTGTACACTGGTCGTAATTAACGACATAGGTAATTTTAAAATTGTGAATTACTGCTAAAACGGAATGTAAATTTCTAGTATCTATTTAAAACGGTCATTGTTTTATGTTAGAAAACATTAGGTAAACATACAGTCACGTAAGGTAGATGAAATCCAGGATATTAATAATTCATGTACGGGCAGTAATGATAAAATACTTACCAATTGAATCTACATCACTTAACAATTTTAAAACATCATTTTCCAAAGTTGCAAGCTAAAAACAAAAGATGGCATCAGGTCATTATAAAAATTGTATCATTATTTTTTTTAAATTGACTTTCTACGAATTTTCAAACAAAAACAACATTTGAACTTAAGAAATGTAATTAGGAGAGCATGTTGGTATATAAACGGGTTTAGTAGGCTTTCAAAACGACCAATCCCATTAGGTTCTAACTATGTTACCTTTTGTTTGTTCATCTGTCTATTTGCCAAGTTTTGATTATACAATTGAATTAAATTTTCAACGGGCATCAATCTTTGGTTAAGGATCGTGAAAGTGACGCTATGCTAGAAGTAGAATTATATAATCATGTTGTCTTAACAGTTTTGGCAAATGTAATCGAGACAAATTGCACGTGAGCAGGTTTGTAGTTATTAAAGTGTGTAGCTATGAACTAATACAGCACAAACTAAGAAATCCATTTTAAAAGAGTAAAATATGTGTTCAAAAACTAAAATAGGTACTAAAATAGGTAGGCCTACAAACTATTGACATTAACCTTTCTACTTTGGTTTCCGTATTTTTGTTTTTATTTCCTTCTTCCCTCAAGTGAGAAATATCATCAGAATGACTTTTTACTTGTTTTTGCAATTTCTCTGTTTTAGTTGATTGAATTTCTAATTCTTCATTTATTTTGTTTAATATAATGTCAAATTTGTTCATCTCTGTATTCGTGCTTTCGAGAGCTTGTTTTGCGTTTGATTCCTTTTCTCTGAGTGTCTCGATTTCTTTATTCAACTCATTTATTTTGGTTTTGGTTTCTTTTATTTGTTCTCTAATCTTTTCTTTATTATCTATTTCTTTCTGAGACAATTCTTCAAGTTTTTTCGCCATAGTGTTATGTTCTGATATTAGTGTTTTCCTGCATTGTTTTATTTCATTCAATTGTGTCAGTTCTTCATTCATCTCGTCCGTTATAAGTTTCTGTTCGTTAATTTGCTTTCGGAATAGCTTAGCATTATGTTTTTGTTTTATAGCCAATTGTTCTATGTGTTCCTTCATATTATTTTCTTCTGTTTTATAAGTGTCCCTCCATTGCTTAATTTCGGTCAGGTCAGCTTCAGTTTATTTATTTCTATTTTGCATAGAATTTAGCGTTGTTTCAAGACGTTCTACTATCTGCTCTAATTTGTTACTTACATCACCTGCAACTTGTAAAATTTGTTTATGTTAGCATATTCTTGGAGAATGCTATAGAATCAAAATATTTCAAACTAAAGACAAAAGTACAGTAATTACATTACAGCAACGGTGCATTGATATATATATATATATATATATATATATATATATATATATATATATATATATATATATATATATATATAAAGCAATTTTACCTGCTATAGAATCAAAATATTTTAAACTAAAGACAAAAGTACAGTAATTACATTACAGCAACGGTGCATTGATATATATATATATATATATATATATATATATATATATATATATATATATATATATATATATATATATATATATATATATATATATATATATATATATATATATATATATATATATATATATATATATATATATATATATATATATATATATATATATATATATATATATATATATATATATATATATATATATATATATATATATAAATTTCAAGACAAAAAAAAACTTTAAAAAAGAACTTTTGAAATTTTTTGTTTGCAAGTTGGCGCCCCTAGAAGGGTCCACAGTTTGGAAACCAGTGTTATAAGTCTTAAGTGAAAACTACTTTTATGGTCAAAAACGATAAAAATAAAACGTATTTAAATATATGTTTAATGAATTTAATCAACACAACTTCGACATAATATTCATTTTATTTTCAATAGTTGATAACAATCGAAAAAATAACACTGGTGCGAAACAAACTGTATGAGTGACACAACGAAACACTTTGGGACGCCGTGGCCAAAAAGGCTGCTAACCCGAAAGTCTCGAGTTCGTATTCTGGTTCAAGTAAAGAGAAGATACCTGATCCCACCCAGCTCTGATGGCTACCTAACTCATGTTAGGGAAAGTAAAGGCGGCTGGGCAAAGTGTTGACCGCACACTCCATCTATTTTACTTTACTTCTTTTCAAACATTTAAAACATAGTGTGATGGTTTACAGACACATTGGAGAAACTATAGGATTTACCAAAGCTTAACATCCTTTTACACACATCTCGTATATAAGTTAATATTGCTCTTTCGCTATGTTCAGGCTTCCATGGCCCACTCTGTCTGAATAAGTGAAGTATATATCATCTACATTCGTTTATGTATCGGTTCCATGCAAATTTTCATCCGGGTAAGCATTCGGAAGCAATATGCTCACACACAACTAAAAACACGCAACATTTTAAAATAATTACATATTAATTAAATATAAATTAAATATATATACATTAGACTGCTAACCCGTAAGTCTCGAGTTCGAATCCGGGTTCAAGCCAGTAGACCGTCCCTAAGTCCACCCAACTCTGATGGGTACCTAACTCACGTTAGGGAAAGTAAAGGCTGCTGGGCATAGTGCTGACCACACTATCTCTTCATATGCCGAGGTCACTGAAACAAGTGAACTCTACTTCACTTGCCTCATAGACCGTTAGGTTGGAAAGGGAAACTTTATACATTAAAATTTTAACATTTTTAAACTATGAAACTACAAAGTATAAAAACGATTTGCCTTATATATTTCGCTTTCAAGCTGCATTCTTTGAATTTATAAAAACTAAAGTGTAAAGAAAATATCAAGATAAACTTTTAAAGATATTTAGATATTGAAATGTATTTTAATGGTTAAGTCCCTTGTCCCAGTGATCACACTAAGTGTAAATGATGTTTTAGTGTTTACAAAATATTAACAAAAGAACGACTTAACAACATTCTCTTAAAGATTTCAAACTTCAGGATTATTTTTCAATAACGTCAATAAAAATTATTTAAGTGGGACGGGGCACAAAAATGATAGTTTGCACCGGGCGCCGGGTTGGTCGCTGTGCCTCTAATAACATATGACTGCAGATACAATACTCCCATTGATGTATTTAAACTACTAGACACAAATGCTACTTAAACGACGGTTTTAACTTTCAGCTCAAGCTTGCATTTTTCCGCCTCCACATATGACCTATCGTGCTTCAATTTCGCATTTTACCGCCTCGACATATGACTATTGTTTCTTAATTTCGCATTTGAACTTCACCCACGTTAGTGGCTTTATAAATAATTAAACACGATGTGTATGATATCTACAATTCTTAACTTACCATTAGATAGAATGCTGTTTTGATGATAAAGATTTCTTGTTGTAGCTGATCTACACGTACGAAAATCATCAAAACAACAGAGATAACTCTCATATTGACAACGCGTTTCGGGAAATCCCGCTATTATTGAACGGAGGAAGTTCTGCAACTCTACAAAATTCCAGTCGTTTGATTCCTCACAACAAAAATAGCCCTACTTAGGGTACTGCTAATTTTTAATCTATTTCATCTATTTTTAAAATAACATTCCCTTTTAATCTAACCAAAAAAACTAAAAATAATGAATTTTAAACGAAATCAAAAGCTCTTCTACTTTAATTCTTACTCAGCTATTCCTATTATTTTTTTAAGTATAAAGCTTGATAATAATTCATTTCCATTAAAATATACTTATTAATAGAAAAGTATGTAGGTCGTTTTATAAAAAACGTATTTTATTACAATATATTTAGGCAATTCACAGATAAATATTAAATCTATTGGATAGATAATGAAAGTGAAAAACGGAAATACCCAAGTGTATAATTTCAGCAAGCTGGAAATAACATAATATAAAGCCAAGAAAAACTATCGCATGTTTCTAATAAGTATTACATAATTAACTGTAAAATTAGTTAACAGATTTAAAAAAAATATATAACATTACTTAAAGGAATTTTCATTTAATTGTGGATTGCCAGTTATAGTTTAATAATTTAGGACAAAAACTTAGTCTTAGTAGATTTATAACTCATTTATTAGATTTTATTTTATTGTTATAATTAACTCTTTATTTACTGAATTAATGTCTTGATGAAATAATTTTTCTTTAACAATGAATTATTATATTGCTTTTGGTGCAGTAAAATTATACGTGACTCAAGGGAGGTTATAAATATATAAATGATCATAAAGATTCTCCCTAAATTGAAATTATTTAATAGCTAGGCTTACTTATTGTACCGTCAGTAGTTTAACATCTACATATTGACGGATATTGATAACATGTGCACTGCACTGGACTTACTATTCTAATGAAAACAAATAGGCTACATATTATCAAAATGATCTAAATGAATTTTTTGGGTGGAGGTGAGGCGGGCGAACTAAAATTCCCAGGGGTGGTAGGGGTGGGGCGCCTACTGTTAGAAGTATATATTTTCGATATTTCGTTTGGGGGCGGTAGATTATCTTCGGGGGGGGGGGTAGCCTAGAAGAAATACTGCTTTAGTTTTACTTAGTGATGATGACAGAGTTAATATATTTTTTTAAAATTTAGTGTTATTAACATTTAGATGCCTTCAAGAATTCACGTCAAGTTTGTTACAGAGCGCAAGAAATATTTGGAAGAACAGATACAAGTTCTGGAACCTGTTTTGGGAAGTATGAAAAATGTAAGTCATTACAAACTAAAAAAATCTTCGTATTACTTAAAATGTAAAAATCGTTTTATTCTCGATAAAGTAGGTTTAGCGTTTTTCGAAGTGCATGTGTTAAAAAACACAGAACAACCACACGTCTTTAGGAATAAAGCTCTGCCACACGTGGCAACTTGAAAATATTGTTGTTGTTTGCTTTAACCAGGTTGTTGCAAAAAGTAAGGCGTGGCTAGAAGAAAAAACTGACCAATCATCTGTCAGCTACATCGAGCTATCACAAGAACTGGACACAGCAGCCACGGCCTTGTTGGATGTGACGTCACATATTTTAAGTCAGCACTTTAATAGTTTTTATAATTTAAAATCTCAAAGCCGCCTATGGTCAGTGGCGTAGCGAGGTCGGGTTTCACCCGGTGCGGCACTTAATGGTGTCACCCCCCAGAGGCGTAGCGACCCTTACCGGGGACAAACTTTCGATTTCCCCCCCCCCCCCTCAAACTTTCGATTTGCACCCCCCCCCCCCCTCAAACATTCGATTTGCACCTCCTCCCCCCCTCAAGTTTTCCTCTATATATTTTGCTATTTTTTGCCTTGGTGTCACCCCCCCCTAAATGTTGTCACCCGGTGCGGTCCGCACCCCCGCCCCCACCCCCTCCCCCTAGCTACGCTTCTGTCTATGGTAATGTAGTCTCTGTGTTCAGTAGAGAAGTGTTCCTATTGAGAAAAATGCAACGAAATTACAGACATTACAAATACTATGTTAAAGATATATAATTTTACTGTCGACCGAAAAACAGACGACTTTCCACTTTTATCTAAAATCAAAAGCACATTAGTGAATATTGTAAATCATTATATGAACAAAATTAAATAATTTACAATCACATTGTGTAACATTATTCGCCCAAAGACAATGCTGAAGAGCCTTAAGGGTTTATAGAACGTTAAATTAAAAAAAAATACTTTTGGTAATAAATTCGATAATTAGTCAGGTAAAAGTAAAATTTAAAACAAAATAGTACGTAAAATATATAGAGATTTCGGACATTTTGGAACTATTTGTGTTTTCTTAAATTTGGATCATAATCAAAGTTTTCTTTCATCAGAACATTACATGGTTGGCGTTATAGTTTTAACTAGCTAAACCAGTAAAACTTATTGTGTGTACTACAGTATCCTAGTTCACTTCAACTGCAATTAAAATAAAATTATAAACCCGATTCCACCAGATGAGGACAACATGGATGTCAACAAACCAACGCAATCTTTACTACAGCCTGACACACAGACAACAGCAACATTCCTAACAGTAGAATCACCAAGACAACTCATCAAACAAGTTCAACACTCAGCGGGTATAGTATAGTATGCTTTGGCATTAGACGTTCAATAACACCATCATATACTCGATATAATTTTAAAATATGTACAAGTATTGTATCTTGTAAGAAAATGTACGATTGATACCACTATTGTTTTAAGATTTCGGTATTTTAAATTTCAAACTTATATTTGTGACAATTTTCAGTTGAAGAACATCCTGACCTAGAGCGAAGACTCGCCTATATTGAAACAACATTATCTTCACTACAGGACACACAACACAAGTCTACAGATGACATATCAGAAATAAAACAATGGAGACACAACTATGTAACAGAACAGGGTGACTTGGGGGTAAACATTGAACAACTGACTAAAAAACAAAAGCAGAATTTTAAAAATATTAGAAAACAAATGAGTGAACAAGATAACAAAATAAAGGAGCTGAACCAAGAAATTGAAAGTTTAAAAGAAAAGGAAACCAAGTCAAACAAAACACTAGAAAATCTGTCTATAGATATGAAGGAATATGAGACTAGCGTACACAAAATAAATAAAGAAAAGCAAGATCACGCAGACAAAACAGACAGTATAACTCAAGAAATGAAAAGACATTCTGATAAGATGTCTACCCTACAAGAAGAGCTTTCTAAAAACATGCTGAATACATCAACTCAATTAGAAAAGGTAAAATTTCTAATTGTCTGTGTACACAATTTTACACATACTGGCCACATAACTTATTTCACATTTTATAAGCTGGTTAAATCAAAAGACAACTTATAAACTGTATCAATTGTTATACCTTAAATACAATACTAATTTTTAGACACATGTTTTTGATAATTATAATGCATAGCAAAATAATTAAAATTGTAATGCTTTTATTTAATTTTCTGCTATTTAGCACATTTTAATGAACAAACTCCTACAACAAAGGTTGATGCCTATTGACAAACTGATTCAAATCTTTAACCAGAACTTGGAAACTAGGGAAGATAGAATAACGAAGGTATATGAGAAGTAATTTTATTAAAAATTAAATTGCGACGTTGATAAATCATGCATTAATTATCAACACTATGTAAATAGACAAGTTAATAACCTGTATTTAAAAATAAACACAAGCTTCAAATTTGTTTCCTTTCTTACAATATGCCATAACCATTTAAAACCACTGCATCACTGTATGTTGTACGAAACTATGGGATTTTTCATTCGTTTTATAAAATACTTTTTTAGCTGCAAAATATTGAAGGTGCTATTTCAAAATTGTCCAAAGATTTGAATCTTATAGGTAAGTTTGCATTTAAAAAATGATTTTATAAAACAAATCATACAGCCAGACAGACCATAACTTGATGTTCGTTAGCCAGAGAGACCATAACGTGATGTTCGTTAGCCAGACAGACCATAACGTGTTATTCGTTAGCCAGACAGACCATAACGTGATGTTCGTTAGCCAGACAGACCATAACGTGATGTTCGTTAGCCAGACAGACCATAACGTGATGTTCGTTAGCCAGACAGACCATAACGTGATGTTAGTTAGCCAGAGAGACCATAACGTGTTGTTCGTTAGCCAGACAGACCATAACGTGTTGTTCGTTAGCCAGACAGACCATAACGTGATGATCGTTAGCCAGACAGACCATAACGTGATGTTAGTTAGCCAGACAGACCATAACGTGATGTTCGTTAGCCAGAGAGACCATAACGTGATGTTCGTTAGCCAGACAAACCATAACGTGATGTTCGTTAGCCAGACAGACCATAACGTGATGTTCGTTAGCCAGACAGACCATAACGTGATAAAGAATGGAACATTTCACTCACCCATAGTGCCAGTCTCTTGACCCGTGGGTTTCCGTCAGGTGTTTGTTTCCTCACCTGGTACATTACACCACCTGGTATGTCGGGGGTCGACCTACAGCGGTCTACCTTAGTATAGTAAGACATTACACAGCTGTAGTTTGAAATTAACCAATTTTAATTACCATCACACCATCCTTTTATGTTTCTAACATAAAGACGGAGTCCCATACGAGCCAGAGGTTAATTCCAAAAAAAAAATAATAACTGAAAGACAAAAATAATTGTTACATTTTTAACATCTTATATAATATTAATTTATTGTAACATGAAATGAGCTATAGAATAGGTTGATGGTGCTAATTTTGTCAATCGTTTTATGGGAGTTTCAAAAGTATAACATAATAAATTTAGTTCTAGAGATTCTTGATACGATAAATTATTCTTATATAATTAAACTATACGGACTGAATGATTATAACATAACGCATATAACCTTTGTCGTACCATTTGTGAGGTATTAATTGAATTACTACCCTCGTAGTTTCAATACGTAGGACACGATAAACTAACACCACTAAAATTGATGACCGTACTAAACTAGTGGTCTACTGTTTCATGTTGTGGTCTTAGACAAAATTATGTAAATTTTATGGATTATTATACACAATGTATTTTTGTAATTGTTTGATTTGGGTTTGCCATTTTTACTTACGTTTTGAACAACATTTAAAACACATATAATTAGTTTATGTTTAGGGTAAGTAACATAAACTAATAATACGATAATACAAATATTATGGATCAAATAATTAAAGCATGGGGATAATCCTTTTATGGCTTCCACACGTGGATAGCGGGGGGGGGGGGGGGGGGGGGAAGGTCCGAATAAAATATATTTTTGTAAATGCGTGTGGACTTGATATGGGGGGGGGGGGGGGGTCGGGTCATTATCAACGTCCACGTGTTGAATTTAACAACAAAATAGTTTTTAAAAATGCACATAAAATGTTGGTTATACATTAAATCTGCAGTTCTCGTGTTGAATGTCCCCAGCAAACGGGTGAATAAATGTAGCCAAAATGTCACTGTATACCGCCAGCCTGGGAAAATAAGCGGATATTTTTTTTACTATCAGGAGGGGGGGGGGGGTGCAGTGACCGCAACAATTATCTAAAATATTTCATGTTATTTCAAGTTTAATTTTAAACATTTCAAACAATTAAAGCTTGACTTTTGAAAACAGTTAGAACAATTTTGTGTCAAGACCTAAGACGACGTAGATCTAGTGATTTTTTCTTCAAGTAAAAAAAACTACAAATTATCAAGTCACAGTAAGATATTTAAACAACAGCACGTGTATAATATGCTCGCTTGGTCAGGTGTGTAGGGCTCACGGTCAGCGGGACTAGGACTAAAGGGGGGGGGGGGGAAGGTTTGTTATGGAAACATGTGTAGCGTAAACTTGAGTAAGAGTTATATAATGACGTCATGTTTATTAGTGAATTTACTCCAAACTATTTATTCGTTAATAGATACACGAATGACATTACAATGTTCGGTCTACAGCATCTTCAATTAAAATATGTTGTTAAAATTCCAAATTTTTGTAGACGTCATAAATGGATGACACCATTCGTGAAATTGAACATGTAAATCATACATATGTTTTCTAATCAACAGAGTCACGTATATGTAACAGATATGCTTGTTATGTGACGCTTGCTGATCCCACACCTGTCAGTACTAGATCAATTATTTCAACATTTTATCAAGTACGTGAATATAACGGTCAACATTTTAATCAAACAACAGGAACATTTGTATCACCACATGATGGTTTATATCTTGTCTGTGTCACTCTAAATGAAAGGGAAGGTAAACTGATTACAGTTGGTGTGATGGCTGGAGGCGTGTGGTGGAAGTCTATAGAAGTGAAATGTGCCGACACTAGCGCTGCTGGGTCGGTGGTTGTTGACATGAAGAAAGGTCAAGAACTTTACTTTCAAGTGTTTAGAGCAGATCCAGGTGCAAAATTATCCTGGCTCAGTAGTTTTACTATCGTTAGTTTATAGAAATACAACACAAAACATGGTGGATGGTAAACTCTCAAAAAATAAAATATGAAATCACCATGTTAAACACACGCTAACATCTTACTATGGATGTAGACTACATGTATACAAACACTGAAATGGTTTATATGTTGTTTGTTTAATTATCATTTTACACTTCAAAATAATTTAATTTGATCAGCAAATATTATTCTACTAGACTAATATACACAGATAACATAACCGTATTTTTACGTATATTTTACTTCTCAATATGAGAGCTTTATGTGTAATATACATATTCTGTACGTTAAATGTGATAAAAATAAAATATATTTGTTTGCTAACTATGAAAATTAAATCCGCAATTTCGTGAAAATCCAAATGAACTATTACAAAACGAATTATTTAAAAATAATGTTCATTTTATTGTTATTCATTTATAAATATGATGAAATATAGTGCAAGTAACTGTTATTGCGATTCAACGTTAACAATAATAAAAAACCGATATTGCTTTTAGGTCGGTAACATGGTATATGTGAATTAACACCAACACAAACACACGCATACACACAAATAGGCCATACCTTTATCTATATGATATATACTCAACTCTTGATTTATAGTTATGTATCAAACTTATTCATATACATATATATGATGACTATATATGCTCATCAGATAACTGTCAATAATGGATCAATTATTTTAAAATTTTGTTTAGTATATGAATATAATAGTCAACATTATAATCATACAACATGATGTTTCATATCTTGTCTGTGTAACTCTAAATGAAAGAGAAGATACACTGATTGGAGTTCGTGTGTGGGTTGGATTTAGGTGGTGTAAGTTTATAGAAGTGAAATGTGCCGACACTAGCGCTGCTGGGTCAGTGGTTGTTGACATGAAGAAAGGTCAAGAAATTTAACTTATAGTGTTTTATGCAGATCATGACGCAAAGTTATCGATCTTGAGTAGTTTAACTATCGTTAGTTTATAGAAGTACAACACAAAACATGGTGGATGGTAAATTCTCAAAACAATAAAATATGTAACCATGTTAAACACATGTTAAACAACTTACTATGTGGGTAGTCTACATGTATACACAAACACGAATGATTTATGTTATTTGTTTAGTTATCATTACACAAGTCCAAAAAATTCAGTGTGACCACGAACAGAGTTTCTTTCAGGCATCTCTTCGCCCCCTCCCCCTGAGGAAAGTCTACCGCCCTCCCCGCCCCACCTCCCCGAACGAAAAGGGATTTATATAGAAAATAAGAAAAAATATATATAAAAACTTATACCAATGTCCACCCCTGTTAAATTATAGTCGTCGTCCCCCGAAAATTTCAAGTCCCCCCCCCATTGAAGAAAATAGTCTGGAAGAAACACTGATCACCAATTAATGTTTTACTTCACTAAAAACACATATAGGATAACTTTTATAAAATATATTTTACTGTGTGAGTGCTTTATGAGCACCATTTAATTCGTGCAAGTTTGTTTTTTAAAAATAAAACTTAACCAACCGAACTATATAAAAGACAATGTTTGAATAAGTTCACTTGACAACTTCAGTATGTGTCTAGTATGTTAAAAATATTAATTCATGTTAGGCAATTGTAAATATATTGAAATATGCTGAAATTAACTGTTATTGTGATTAAATATAAAAAATAACCTCTATTGTCTTTTTATTCAGTAACAGTGTATATGTCAATTAACACCTAGCTTAACACACAATAATAACAATGTGTATTTAATAGATATTCAAATAATTCTATCTAAAATTATGTATATACGTATAAATAAATGTATACACGTATAAATAAATATATATATATAAATATAAATAAATATATATATATATATATATATATATATATATATATATATATATATATATATATATATATATATATACATATATATATATACATATATATATATATATATATATATATATATATATATATATATATATATATATATATATATATATATATATATATATATATATGTATATAGGGATAATGGTTAGTTAAGACAGTTGTGTTAGGGTTAAGTGGATAAATTAGTGGTTATTATGAAATAAACAAGGCTACACGAGTATGATTTCATTTTATCTTTTTGGAGACATTTGCTATTCGAAAACAAACAACGATAACTGACATGTTGTTACATAAAACACATTATCAGTCATGACTGTTAAGAGCATTATTTACGTTAATTAACATCTGTTCGTCACAGATCTCAATAAAGACAAATTTCCCATGTGAAAACCAAATCTACAGCCAAATGTTTACAATATTAGCTCTGCCTTCTTTAGTGTACTATACCCATGGATCTTGTTGAGCTTTGCAGCAAATATAAATCATTAGGCTCGTTAACCAGGGACATTTAGCAGAGAAAACTCATACATAAAACAAGTACTGCCCCGTACGTTGTTCTTGGATGTACAAAGGCTAGAAAGAAAATCCAGAAATAAAACACAGTTTTAGCGTGCCATAGAGAGCACATGATGTTGATAGGTAATACAAAATTCTGCTGTGAGACATATCATCCAATATCACAATTTAGATCGTTATCACTTATGTGGAAATATGCAAATTAATTATAAACATCCTAGATCTACTCACTAACTTAAGAAACGATGAAGCGATTTAAGGCTAGGAGCTACAGGGAAAACACTTTTTTGTTATTAGCCAAGCAAATTCACTGAAACTTCACCCATATAATGTATGCTCAATGGGATTTTTAAAAATGGTGTCCAAAAAGAAAAATATTTTTGGTTGCCATGGTTACGTCCGCCATATTGGATTTTTGTTTATCATTTTCAAAATGCTAAGGCTCAGCAACCACTAGAGGTAAACACACAGAAATGCAAGCATTTTGTAGAGTGATATTAGCCTGAAACTTTCTATAAAGTACTTTTTAAGAAAAGGGTTTTAAAAAATTATTTTTGATTTTTAAATCCTAGACTGTTAAAAAAAGCTGAAATTTGCTCAAATTCAACATATTTCAGTCCATAAAATCTAAAGTAAGAAAAATCTTTAAAAAATGCTTTATAGAAGTTGTTTATATATGTTAGAAGAATAATCAGGCTAAGTTTCATTACAATACATGCAGAACTAACAGAGGAGTAGGGATTTGAAGAGTGAATTTTAACGTTTTGAGAAAAACGCAAAAAACTAAAGAAAAATGAAAAATTTCATTCATAACCTAACAAATACTAACAAAATTTGGTTTTAATTTATGCAGGTTTATTTAACATATAAACATGCAATGAAGTATTAAACTTGCAAGTACATTTTAAATAATAAAGTAAAAAAATTGTCGTACAAAGATAACGCATCAAATACGTAAAGGTAAAAAACATTTTTATTTTCTTAAAATAAACTGTTTCAAAAAATGGGCTGAACCACACCTAACAGTTCTATTTTGTTAAGCATATTCACATTTCATTTTGGCAACTGCTACTTTTTACTGCCATCTAGCATTTTCTTTTTCCAGTTTAGTCATCCGGCAAAATGTTTCAATTGGTTTTTTTTTAAATCCTTGCTACCACTATAACTATAATAATTGATTTATTCATATCTTCAGCTCTTTTTATCTCTTGTGCACTGACCAAAATAAATGCTCTTTTTCTAAGTTATTGTCTGGTTTCATACTGCTTGGCACTCTCTTGGCAAAGGTCAATTCTATAAAGGAAAGTAGAACATCAAGTTATTTCAGTGGACAAAAAAAACCCACACTTTACCACAAACACATTTGGCATTGAATATTTATTGAATCCTAAACTAAGTTGCAAAATCATTGTAAGTTATAAGCTATAAATAAATTTTACAACTGTTTTGGGTCCAGAACAAGATTTTGAAAAGCGGTTTACCGTCACTCGGATATATGATTTTCCTTTTTGCAGTATTTAAAAGTTGCCATATTCTTTCACTGAGTTCACTTGGTCACTAGCTCTTCAATCATTTTCTCCAGATATTGTTATGTGAAACAAAATTATGTGTAGGGAAAGTTACCTTGAACCAGGACAACTTGCAGGGTTTTCAACACACACTGTAGGCCTAAATCATAGGGGAAATGAATTTATTAATAAAATATACAAATGTAAAAAGAAAAGTAATCATAAAACTATAATGATATATTGTATGAATATAAGATTAGGAGAATCACTGAATAGAATTTGATTCATTAGTTTGAGGAGATAAAAATCTTTTGAACTAGATCTAGATCTAGCTAGTATCTGAACCACTAATGAGTCTAATGACAAACAGGTCTACTAACCTAAATGAGATGTTCAAAAAAAAAATATGTAGATCTAGGTCTACTAATTAATCTTTAAATTCAAATAGTTTAATGGATATTGAAATACTCACTGCTTGATGTCCGTGCATCTATTCCTTGTAAACAAAATTAAGGCTGTAGTTGTCATAATCAGCTGTAGACTGTAAAACACATGAGCCTAGTTTGTTGTGTACTCTGTTATCCTTGTTAGGCATTAGGACACTTGTAACATGTTTAGGCCAACTTCACCCGGGGATTACTTAAGTTATTACCAAAATCGTTCTATCTGATAAGTCTGTTATGGGTTCGATCACAGGGTGATAGTGTATATCTTGCTGTGTAATAACTTACTACACACACACGTAAAACACTGCTTACTCTTCTCGTAGGCTTGTGTAGACTAAATCTAGTAGCAGTGAATCAACAAAGAATGGTGGCTGGTATAAAATCACGATACTTTTAAACAGTTTAAACATTATTAAACCGACAAAAACATTTGATACGATGAGATTTGTCTAAAAAGTTTGTAAACAGCTGATTGAATATCCACAACAAGAATGAGTGCATCACTAGGCACGCCGGAAACGATAAACTAGCTAGCGAATCAAAAATTTTAACACTGATAATGCCGAGTCCGCCAGCCAATAGAATTTTACCTTGCTTCCAGGGTAAGGCCGAGAAGGAAAATTTGGTATATGTAGGTCAAACTCTTTAAAAAGTGTGTTTCATTTGAACATTCGAAATTAAATGGAATATTTTCATTGGTTGACAAATTTACCTTGTCGTTATAGACAAGAAAAGGAGCTTTCCGGCGATACTAAACACGCGGTAGCTATTTTTAGTTATCTGTATGTTTTATAGTAGTAAACTTTGGCAATTTTCGCAGTGTTTTTGAAAAATTAGACAAAACATGCATATACATGCCTCACAAAAAAATTAATTTAAAATAAAAATAACCATTTTCCAACAATATGTTATGTGGTTTTGTATTCAGAAATGGATATACTTTAATAATTAGGTCGAAACTGAAATTCGACATCTGACACCCAACACACATAAATGCGGTGCCGCACACAGCCTTAACGACAAACAAACACAACGTTCTTCTGTCAATATTTCAGTTGGTGTTGTATTTTGTTTTAACAATTAAATGTGATCATTATTTCTATTTGGTCTATATCGTTATCAGTGTTAAGAACCATCTTTTGTTTTGTTCATATATATATATATATATATATATATATATATATATATATATATATATATATATATATATCTATATGTTTTATATCTTTAACAACGTTTAAAACTAGCGTTGTCTGCCCACATTGTGTGTGTGTTAGCTATAGCAAATCTTGTGAGTGTGAGCTAAACCAAATCTAGTGTGTGTGAGCTAAATCAAATCTAGTGTGTGTGAGCTAAATCAAATCTTGTGTGTATGAGCTAAACCAAATATTGTGTGTGTGAGCTAAACCAAATATTGTGTGTGTGAGCTAAACCCAACCTTGTGTGATTGAGCTAAACCAAATCTTGTGTGTGTGAGCTAAACCAAATCTTGCGTGTGTGAGCTAAACCATATCTCGTGTGTGTGAGCTAAAACAAATCGTGTGTGATTGAGCTAAACCAAATATGTTGTGTGTGAGCTAAACCAAATCTTGCGTGTGTGCGCTAAACCAAATCTTTTGTGTGAGCTAAACTAAATCTTGTGTGTGTGTGAGCTACAGCAAATCTTGTATGTGTGAGCTAAACCTATCTTGTGAGTGTGAGCTAAACCAAATCTTTTGTGTGTGAGCTAAATTAAATCGTGTGTGTGTAAGCTAAACCAAATCTTGTGAGTGTGAGCTAAACCAAATCTCGTGTGTGTGAGCTAAACCAAATCTTATGTGTGTGAGCTAAATCAAATCTTGGGAGTGTGAGCTAAACCAAATCTTGTGTGTTTAACTAAACCAAATCTTGTGTGTGTGAGCTAAACCAAATTTTGTGTGTGTTAGCTAAACCAAATCTTGTGTCTGATGTTAACTCACACAAGCACACTAGAGTACACATAATTATTTGCACATACGTGCACAAAAGTGTATATGTGCACATGAAAGCTTGTATTCGCTCATGCGTCGACACACATACGTTGTTATTATGTAAGGATATGATTAAGTGTAGTATTCCAGCTCCTTGCACAAATACTAATAATCTTAATAAAAAAATAAAATATTTGAAATTAAAAAAATTTTAGTGGCTCTTTAAAACCCGGGAAATTTTGAAAATTGTAACTTTTGGCTCTTCCGCTTCAAAAGGTTGCCGACCCCTGTTCTAGACTGAGATATAAAAACAATTTTTGTTATAAGGGTTTGTAAAACGCCTTTTATTTTCGTAACCAATAAAAAAAACTATGGCATCAGCCACTCTTTGAGTAACTGGAGTAATCAGAGGTAGTTTGTACCTGTTTGTGTACATGTTTGTGTACCTGTTTGTGTACGTCTTTTTGTACCTGTTTGTGTACATTTTTGTGTCCATGTTTGTGTACATGTTTGTGTACCTGTTTTTGTACATGTTTGTGTCCATGGTTGTGTACATGTTTGTGTCCATGTTTGTGTACATGTTTGTGTACCTGTTTGTGTACATGTTTGTGTACATGTATACTATGTGTGCTAGAACCGCGTATGATAGTCCAGTCGGGTTATTGTGGGTTAGTTCTGTGTACTTTTATATAGTCACTAAATCGTAGTTTGTGTACACGTTTAAGATTTAGAATCGCCTGTGTTTGTGTACATATTAGGAGTGGGGACCGGTTGCATGTTCATGCATTAAAATGCATGACATACAGGAAACACAACAATGTTCAATTCATAATAATCTCTTGATTTTAAATTCCCAATAAAGTACATACCATCACAAAACAATATATGATCGCTTCATCTGTTTGGGAGAAATCAAAGGCAGTCTAAAGTATGATTAAAATATTAGTTATTATAGACTGTTTAATTTTCACCCTACTTAAAGATTGGGTAGAATAAATTTTAAAGGATTTATTTTTATCTTGGCATACATGTTATTACCGTTTTCTTTAAGTAATCAAAGAACTGCAAAAAAATTAAAAGTTGAAACTCCTGACTCAGTTATATCCCTTTATGTAGGCATAATTGATTGGTTAAACTTGATAGTTTTTATTAGTTGTCAGAAGTATTTGAAAATCATTTATAATATATTTAAAAAAGCGTTTGTTTTACCCGAATATTTTCTTAGATTATTTTTGCTCGTTGTCAAATAAAGGGGGAAAAATAAATTTCAAATTGCTAACTCTGTTACGTCCCTTTAACAAATAAAGTTGATTAGTAAAAGCGTTTAATCATTAACCCCTTAATTTGAAATTTCTGAGAATCTGGTATTTTTCCAGGTGCCTACAATAAAGAGCTATCTCCTTAACAAGTATCAACATTTTGTCGTATCTGTAAGTGGTGGATCTTATTCAAGCACTTTAAAAACTATTAAGTTTATATAAGGCCGCTGTCATTCTAGGTCAGTTTCGGACCACTTTAAACTCGGTTATTGAGATGACTATGGTTTTCCCGGTTAAAAAAGATCGAACAGCAAATTTTGGCAAGATCAATTTCCCTGCAACTTACCTGCAAGTACCCGACCTAATAGGTGTGAGTAACAAACATTCCCCTCTTTGCTTTTATAGATACAGATACAGATTTATAATTCACATGAGTTCAATTTAGAATATAGTAAGTATATTTTCTTTTTAATAAACATTATGTATAAATAAGACTCAACTGTTTGATAAAATAACTTAAAGTACTTTGTACATGAACATGCATCTTCTCTAACTGTTCCAACAAAATATTTAAAGATTCATTGGTGGGGTTGTACTCAGACCTCTGCATGTAAGTAATAGATAAAGTGATTATAAATGCATATGAAACTTAACAACAACGGACTGCAGATGCGAGAGTCCTAGTGAAATATTATAACTGCGAGACAAAAATGTAACGTAAACGAAGTTTTTAACTTATACTCAATCTTGCATTTTACCGAATCGATAAATCGCGGTTAGTATTCGCATTTTACCCTCATCAACGTTGATGTGAATTATACTTACACCTGTTCACTTACCTTTCGATAGAATGTTGTTTTAATAAAATAGATTTTGTGTTGCGGCTGATCTACATGTAGCTTATTCATCAACAAAAGGGAGATAACTCTCAAACTGACAGCGCGTTTCGGGAACACCCGATATTATTTAAAGCAGGAAGAGTTCTTGCTCATGATACTAAGTCCTACTTCGATTCGTCAAAAACATCATTTTAAGGTAAAGCTAATCTACATAGTTTTAAATGGAATAAGAAGTACATTTCAAACAAACTATCTTGTTTTAAAACGGATAGATAAAGTTACTATATTTAAAAAACATAAAATATACTATGAATATTTTGTATGACTATAGTAACCCAATTGTGTAAAATGTACTCTAAATTTATTTAAAAAAAGATTTTTTTTAACCTCGATTTTATAATCGTTTATTTGACAAATACGCAATTCGTTTTTTTAAAAACTTACTTTGCCATAGAGTATTTACGCTATCCACAGTTAAATGTTGTCACTAAATTGTAGGTTAGCAATCAAACCCGAAAATCAAGAAAACCAAGGTGTATATTTTTAGCGAAACGGGAAATTATAATGTAGTAGAGCTCATAGATCGCTGTTATAGAACAATATTTTTAGCTAATGCAAATTTCACAATTTTCGACACAAACTCTTTTACGTATTTATATACTTAACTTTATGGGCATAGACATAGTTGCAGACAACCAAAACATATGCCCTGAACAGAGACCGTGTTTTTGTATAAATTAGCAACTAATATCTGGAATTCAAATAAATTGATCAGTTGATATTATAGACTATTATAGACACAAACAACTGATTAATAACACTGTTGATGCTGGATTCAAATGAAAAATCATTATTTAAATTTTATGACATACGTAGTTTAAAATATACGAAATATTACAATTTTACAACTTAGATGCCTTCGGGAATTCAGGTCAAGCTTGTAACGGAACACGTGAAATATTTGGAAGAACAGATACAAGTTCTGGAGCCTGTTATAGGAAATATGAAAAATGTAAGTTTATATCAACTAAGAAATTATCGAAACCAGGGCCGGCCCTATCTATAAGGTGGAATAGGCGGTCGCCTTGGACGCTATCCATAGAGGGGCGCTAAAATGGGTAATCGCTATTATTGAAAAGTACCTAATAATTAATAACTTTGATATCTAATATATAAAGCTCATATCTGTATGTAACATGTTTATAAAAAATGTTTTTGTCGTGGATACTTGGATGGATTTAAGTGTTAGATTATTATAGTGCTCAGTGTCTAAATTTGTGAGTTAAAAAATTACTTTTGAAAGTCTTTAAAAACAATTTTCATTTTATATACTTAGAATAATAATTTTCAATTATGAACATCACATCGTAATACTTAAAGTGTGAATGTATCTTGAACAGGATCAAGTAGACTTGTGACGATTAGCGTTTTATTAAGTGCATTTGCTAAGAAATGCAACACAAGAAAGACTGTTTATAAATACA